AACATTTAAAAGTATATATTCACATGGTATATAGAAATTCAAATGAAATGGGAGGAAGCGTAATGACAAGCAAATAGAAATTATTAACCCCTTCAGAAAAAAAGGAAAAAAGAAAGAAAAAAGGAAACAAAAAAAGCTGTGAAAAAGGAAAGAGAAAAGGAAAGCAGAAAAGGAAAGAAAATTTGCTACTAAAGAAATGTTCCTGTTCAAATGAAAAAAAAAAAAATTAAAAAAAAAAAAGAAAAAAAAAAAAAAAGTGAAAAAAAGAAAAAAAGTGAAAAAAAAAAAAAAACGGAAAAAAAAGAAAAAAGAACGGAAAAGAAAGAAAGACAAATGAAAAAGAAAAAAAAAAAGAAAAAGAAAAAAAAAACGAACGGAAATTTTTAAAAAAAAAAAGAAAGAAAACGAAAAAGAAAGAAAATGAAAGAAAAAAAAAAAAAAAAGAAAGAAAAAAACGAAAAGAAAAAAAAGAAAAAAAAGAAAAAGAAAAAGAACGGAAAAAAAAAGAAAAAAATACAAAGAAAAAGAAAAAGAAAAAGAAAGAAAAAGAAAGAACGAATGAAAAAAAAAAAAAAAAGGAAGAAAGAATGGAAAAAAAAGAAAAAAAAAAAAAAGAAAAAGAAAAAAAAAGAAAAGAGAAAAAAGGAAAAAAATGGGAAAAGAAAAAAGGGGGCTAAATTGTCTGTGTATGTGTAAACGTGTTTCTGCAACTTCAAAATATTTTTACAGTTCATTTCACTGTGTTTTTTTATACTATATTAATTTCATATTTACAAGATATTTTTTTCCATGCAAGGGAGGCAACTTTTGTGTTCCCTAATTTATTATTTTTTTTTCATATTTATTCAAAAATTATATCATAAGTATGTCACAACATCACTAAAAATAGCCATTTTGTTTCAACATTTCTGGTGTCTTGTCAAGTGATGATGTTGGTTGCAGAATAGAGTTATTCTGCAATCAACACCATCACTTGACACATACATACATACATATAATATCAATTGATAATTAGTAGGAATAATTTAAAAAAAAAACAAAATAACAATGTAAGTAACAGAGCAATAAAATAATAATGAGTATAGACGATCCTTAAAAATCCATTCAGCTATAATTTATTTCATGAATATATAAATATTAATCTCTTCAGACAAAAGTTCTTTTAATAAATGGAGTCAATCTATCCAGCTGAAAGGAAAAGGGAGAGGAGAAAAGAAAAAAGTAAAGGAAAAAATGTTAATATTAAAAGAGGAAGTAGAAAAAGAAAAATTTCGATATAATGTTTTAAAAAAATTTTTAGAGGGGAAGATAGAAAGAGAGAGTGGCAAGAGATTGGAAGGGGGGAGGGAAGGAGAGGGTGAGAGAGGGAAGGAAAGAAAAGAAAGGAAAATGGAAGAATTAAACATGAGCTGATAGAGTGACCTAGAAAGGATTTTTTCTTTAGAGACTGAACAAAGGGTAAGGAAGGGAATGATCAGATTTAAAATAGATACATTAAATTGTCTGATATTCATGTCTTTTATAAAAAATAGATTTTTTAATATATATATATATATATATATATATATATAAGGTATACTCAATACTTCATTAAAAAAGAAAATACGTTGATGAAAAAAGACACCAAACTTGATTAAGCAATTTTTATCCTCTAAGTGTTTATGTTATTAAGAGGAAAATCAAAGTATTTTTTGAATATTTAAAAAATTTTTTAATCCTTTCTAGCATGTTCGAAATTTTAGTTAAAAATCTTGTTTTTTCTCGAGTCATCAAAATTACTTAAAACGAATATCTGTCTCTTTTGACAATTTTGCAAACAAATGTAAAATTCTCCATTTAAAAATCTTGTAAAATGCAGTTATAATTTTTTTCAAAAGTTATTTTAGGAAAATTAGAAAGTGTAAAGTATACTTAATGAAATTTGAAACAAAGATTACTTAATTTTTTTAAGTAGAAAAAATTTAGTTGGAAATAAGTCTAACAGTGGTGATTGATTTTGGAGGTGTGAACTGACATTTATATCAATGTATTGACAACTAACGTCAGGGCAATTTATTGAAAGGAAGGGCAGAAATGACAGTATTTCAAATTTTAAGTGAACCAGCTTATTTATCTATGAAGTAATTCTTAAAAATTAAATACTTTCAAAATATTTTATTGATTTTTTTAGGTACTTTTTAATGAAGATATGTCCAAAGCTTGCAATTTTTTCCATCCCTAAAATTGAATCTAAAAATGAAAAAAATTATTAATTGCAGCATATATCTCACTGAAAAGAAAAAATTGATTATATCTTAAAAAAAAGGAAATATTTATTGAAATATGTAAAAAAAAAAAAAAAAAAAAAACTTAAAAATTTTAAAAATGTGATGATGATGGTCGGTCAGTCAGTCAGTCAGAGAATTTGATACCAAATCAATGCAATTTATGAGGTTGGAGCCTCGCTATCAGGAGAAATAACTCTTAAAACATGGTGTATTATTTCTGAATTGTGTCTCCGTAGTTTTGCTGGAAATGTTTTAACACATTTTTTAAGATAAAAAAAAATTATTACAAAAAAAACATAGAAATTTTTTTACTAAAATAAGTTCTTTGAAATTTAATTGTAAAAAAAAATATTAAATTTATGGACTAAAGTTATTCAAACTTAATTTTAAAATATTCCTTTTTCATTTTACATTATTTACAAAAAAAAAACATGAAGAAAAGCCATTAAAAGTTTTTTATTTAAATAAAAAGTTTTATTGGGTTTTGTATTTTACAACTCAGGACTAAAGTTTTAGAAACATTTTTCATTTATTTAAAAAAATTAGAAAAAAAAGTTCTGCATTTAATTAATGCACATTTTCAAAAAAAAAATATATTTTTTGTAAAAAAAAATTTTTTTCCATGAAAAAAAAACATTTCTAAAATAAATCTATTCATTTTAGAAGAAGTTCTGAAAGTTTCATTAAAATCTAATAATTATTTCATTTTTGCAAGAATTTCCAGATTAATGTGTTCTTCAACAAAAAACAAAAAAACGAAACACCAACAACAACTAATGTTAAATATTACAAATGTGTTGATATAAAATACTTGGGTTATTACTGACAACAGGTGAATCACCGACCTGCATCTTTTAGCTGGGTGTCATCTCAGGAAAATTTGGCTACCTTGATTGTTTGGTGTGAAATTGAGTTTAAAACTTATTCCTGCATGATTCAGGGTGAAAGCACACACATTACAAAATGAATGTGAAATAAGTGACATTTTAATCAACTTTTTTGGGAAATTTTTTTTGGGAAAATTACCGATTATTCAGAAAAGATATCCCCCAGTTTTATTTTTTGATCTTTATCACATAATACCATTCCCTGGTTCCACTCAATTTGACCATCACCACTAGGACCCACCATCCCAGGTAGTTGGCATCAACACATCCTCATCCTCTTCACATTGGTGAGGAGGAAATTGCACTTAGACAACTTCTTCCTAAGAACTGCTACTTTGTGGAAGAAACATCAAAAACGATGCTTTGCCAACCACCACAGGCTTAACCTCTTCAAACCTAGGGTCAACTTTTATCAATTCTACATATCCTAATAATATGCACTTTCACCTCTTTTCCTTTACAACCTTACAACCACCACATCATCTTCTACCTTGAGTTTTCTTAAACCCTGTATTAGGTGAACAAAAAAGGTATGGAAAAACAGACAAAACATTTATTTTTTAATTATTTCACCCCAAGCAAGACGAGTACGCAGTGATTACAGAGAGTGAAAGTGAGAGCAAAGACTGGGCATAGGGGGGGGGGGGGAAGCAAGGAAAGGATAAAAAGCTGAACAGGGTTCAAGATGACAGAAGTGATATTGCATTTAAATTTTTGAAGATTCTAGTTTTCAGGGAAGCCAGGAAGTTCCACAGTGCGAGAAAAGAAACTGTTGGAGTAGAAGTGGCGGTTACATTTAACTATTTCAAAAGTAAAAAGGGTGGGGAACTAGAAAACATATATAAAAGGTTCTATGAAGGATCGTTTATCATCATTTCTTTGGAGAATTTGACAGAAGAAAAAATATCTGCAACTGATGTCAAAGATCATTTTAATCAGGATCTGTTCCTAAATAAAATTCTCTTCATGGGGAAAAAAAAACAAAAAACTTTATGATTGAGGCTTTGTAAAAAGAATCCATTAGAGCAAATAAACCATAGAACATTTTTGGTTATTTCTCAAAAGAGATGAATCTGTTGTGTCTAAATGAGAATTTAAAACACAATATAAGACTTATGGACATTTCAACATTCAGCAGAAAGAGTAAGTGGTGGAGGGGGGGGCATTAATGCATTATTAACCACAGAGAGAGTAAAAGAATGGATATAAAATAAGTCAGAGAGAGAGAGAGAGAGAGAGAGAGAGAGAGAGAGAGAGAACAAATGCAAAAACAGAGAGAGAGAGTATGAATAAAAAAAACAGTCAGAGAGAAAAAGAATGGATTCAAAATCAGTCAGAGGGAGAGAGAGAGAGAATGGATACAAAACCAGAAAGAGAGAGACTATGGATAAAAACAAGTCAGAGATACCTTGAAGAGAGATAATTAATATAAAACCAGAGAGAGAGAGAGAGAATGAATACCAAGAGAGAGAGAGAGAGAGAGAAGAATGAATACAAAACCAAAGAGAGAGAATGAAGAGAGAGAAACAGTAAGAGGAGAGAGAATGGATACTAATACAGAGAGAGGGATAAAAAAAGAGAGAGAGAGAGAGAGAGAGTCAGAGAAGAGAAACCAGAGAGAGAGAGAGAGAATTCAAAACCAAAGAGAGAGAGAGAGAGAATGAATTCAAAACAGAGAGAGAGAGAGAGAGAGAGAATATCACAAAGAGAGAGAGAGAGAGAATGGATACTAATACAGTCAGAAGGGGAGCGAGAGAAAAAATTGGATACAAAACCAGTCAGAGAGAGAGAGAATGCATACAAAACCAGTGAGAGACATAGAGAAAGAAAATTAATACAAAAGTAGTTAGAGAGAGAGAAAGAATACAAAACCTGAGAGAGAGAGAGAGAGAGAGAGGAATACAAAACATGTCAGGGAGATAGGGTAGGAATAAAAAATCAGAAAGAGAGAGAGAGAGATTATGAAAAAAAAAAAAACAGAGAGAGAAAGAATGGACATAAAACCAGCCAGGGGGAGACAGAATGGACACAAAACCAGCCAGGGGGAGACAGAAGGGACACAAAACCAGCCAGGGGGAGACAGAAGGGACACAAAACCAGCAGAGGGGGGAGACAGAAGGGACACAAAACCAGCCAGGGGGAGACAGAAGGGACAAAAAAGAGAAAGGGGGAACAAAAGAAAACCAGGGGGAGAGACAGAAGGGACACAAAACCAGCCAGAGGGGGAGACAGAAGGACACAAAAACAAAAGAGAGAGAGAGAGAAGAGGACACAAAAACAGAGAGAGATAGAGAGAAGGGATACAAAACCAGTCAGAAAGAGAGAGAATGGATACAAAACCAGAGAGAGAGAGAGAGAGAGAGAGAAAGAATACAAAACCTGTCAGAGAGAGAAAGAGAGAGTAGGAATACAAAATCAGTGAGAGAGAGAGAGAGTATGAATAAAAAAAAACAGAGAGAGAAAGACTGGATATAAAACCAGTCAGGGGGAGATAGAGAGAAGGGATACAAAACCAGAGGGAGAGAGCGAGAGTATGGATAAAAACCAGTCACAGAGAGAATCAATACAATACCAGTCAGAGAGAGGGAGAGAGAGAGAGAGGGAGTAGGCATACAAAACTAGAGAGAGAGAGAAAATAAATACAAAATCAGTTAGAGAGAGAAAGAATGGATACAAACACAGTCAGAGGGCAAGCAAGAGAAAGAATGGATACAATACTAGTTACAGCGAGTGAATGGATACAAAACCAGTCAGAGAGAGAAAGAGCATATGGATAAAATCCAGTCAGAGAGAGAGAGTATCAACAAAAAACAGTCAAAGAGAGAAGGAGAGAGAGAATAAATAAAAAACCAGAGAGAGAAAATGCATCCAAAACTACTCAGAGAAAAAGAATAGATACAAAACCAGTCAGAGGGAGAGACAGAAAAAATGGATACAAAACCAGAGAGAGAGAGAGAGAGAGATGTTAAAAAAAAAAAAAAGAAAGAGAAAATGGATACAAAACCAGAGAGAGAGAATGAGAGGAAAAATGGATACAAAACCAGTCAGAGAGTGAGAAAAATAAAAAACAAAGAGAGTGAGAAAAGATACAAAACCAGTTAAAGAGAGACAGAGAGGTAAACAAAACCAGTCAGAGAGAGAGAGAGAGAGAGAGAGAGCAAGGGATAAAATATACAAAATCAGTCAAAGATGAGGAGAGAGAGAGGAAAAAAATGTTAACCCACTGAGAGACAGACAAAAAAAAAAAAAAAAGCAATTCAGTGTTCTCTCACTCTCTCTCTCTCTATATATATATATATGATAATCTTTATGAACCCCAAAATAACACTTTCAAAAAGTAAAACAAAATAACAGCGTCTGTTTCTAGCCTTTTTTTACAAAGAAAAATTAGTGACACCTTCTCACATAACTTCCTCTCTCTTTTTTTTTTTTCCCTCTATGGGTTTTTTTCTCCTCTACCCCTTCGATATCAATATATAACTTCCATTAAGTTAACCATTTAAATGTGTCAATGTCTGCTAACTAACTCATGTCTTCTCTCTCTCCCCTCACTTCCTCAATTTACATATGTTTAATACGGCCCGTCAAAAAATGTATATAAATTTTCTTTTCATTTTTTTGTTTGGAAGTAAAGTCTGATGATCCGCAGTCCTTTAAAAAAGGGCTGTGGTGAAATAATTTATTACATGGAACCTTAAAGTGATCTGTTTTTATTTAAATTATTTGCTCTGGATTTACATTGAGCTCTCTGGATTTTATCCTCCTTAGGTTTACCCATACGGATTACCTAGTTTTTCATAAACTATATATATATATATATATATATATATATATATATATATATATATATATATATATATATATATATATATATATATATAATAATAATAAATATATATATATATATATATATATATATATATATAATATATAAAAATAATATATATAATATAAAATGTAGGTGAAACAATACTCAACTGCTTTCCATGACTTAAAGTTTCATGTGGACACCAAGATATTGATGCTATTCTTTTACCTATATTTTATATTAACTATGTTTTTTATATATTTTATGTTGTTCACTGTCATTATAGCATCTGTTTTCCTATATGTAAGAACACCAAATAAAATATTGGTAGATCGTAACAAGAAACACAAAAACCAGAAGAGAGAGAGAGTCACAGAGGATCACCCCCACACATAGAGGATAAAACATTTAGAAAGAGAAGCAAGAAATCATAGAGTTTAAAATTATTGATTACTGCAATAGTAACAAATGTGTGATGTTCTGATCTGATATTTTCCTTGCAAGATAAGTAAAATGAAAAGTCAATCTCTGCTTGTTGAGTGCTAGTCAGACTTCCTCCCACACAATTGGCAGGAATTCAGTAATAATAAAAGCAAACCATTCATTTTAATATCTTCAATAGGTAGAAGTTAAGCAACCTTAAGCCTGGTCAATGCTTAGATGGGTGGCCATTTGTGAATGCTAGGTGCCTAGGCTAAATTTTCACCTCCAAATGTATGCTACACCCCACCAATTTATGATATGGGATGCCACACTCTAATACATCTCAATTTTCATCAGGTAGTATTCATATAAAATACAAATTTTACTATAACTTAATTATGTACAATAATAGATCATAGGCGATATCGTTGAACAATTCAACTAGAAAAATCGAAAATAAATATTAATGTATGTCAATACAAATTAGAGACACGTCATAATAGATCATTGTCTTAAATAATATTTTGCAACAATGAGAGGAAGAGAGAGAGAGAGAGAATGGATACAAAACCAGTCAAAAGGAGAGAGAATGGATACAAAACCAGTCAAAAGGAGAGAGAATGGATACAAAACCAGTCAAAAGGAGAGAGAATGGATACAAAACCAGTCAAAAGGAGAGAGAATGGATACAAAAACCAGTCAAAAGGAGAGAGAATTTTGAAAAACCAGTAGTTGAGAGAGAATGGATCAAAACCAGTCAAAAAAGAGAGAATGGAGACAAAACCAGTCAAAAGGAGAGAGAATGGATACAAAAAGTCAAAAGGAGAGAAATGGATACAAAACCAGTCAGAGGGAGAAAGAAAAATTAACTGGACAAATTGTTAGAGGTAGAGAGAGAGAGAAGAGCAAGGGAGAAAATATACAAAATCAGTCAAACAGGTGAGAGGAGAGAAAGAAAGAAGATAATTATGAGATATATAAATAGAAGAGCATATATATATAAATATATATATATATATATATATATAAAAATGTAGGTGAAACAATATTCTTACTGCTCAGCGACTTAAAATTTCATGTGGACATCAAGATATTGATGATATTTTTTTACCTATATTTTATATTAGCTATGTTTTTTATATTTTATGTTGTTCACTGTCATTCTAGCATCTGTTTTCCTATATTTAAGAACACCAAGTAAAATATTGGTAGATCATAACAAGAAACACAAAAACCAGAAGAGAGAGAGAGAGAGTCACAGAGGCTCACTCACTCACACACACACACACACACAGGATAAAACATTTAGAAAGAGAGGCAAGAAATCATAGAGTTTAAAATTAAATTGAGATTTTTCTTGTTACAAAGTTGAATCATTCTAACACATTTAACATTATGAATAAGAAAAATAATGAATTTTATATAGCATTTATTTGAGATTTAGCAAGAGCAAAACAAATTCACAGATTTGAACAAAAGAAAAAAAACACCAATTGACAAAAATCTGAAAATTTTTCATCATTTAATATTTGTGCTTAATTTAATTTATAATGTATACAAATGTAGGTAAAAAAAAGAAATTGTTGATAAAATATTGAGGGGTCACAAAGCACTGCCTGGGGGCCCCCAATCAGGTCTGGTAGCCCACGTTCAGGGCATAAAGAGGTAGTATGCATGAAATTACATAAAATACAATGTTTATATACAATATAAAATTAATAAAAAGTTTAAAAGTGAAAAGAAGCAAAGTATCTGTAAAGTGAAGGTTTGGTTTGCAAGCTAAGTATAATAACAAACTGGACACTGACTTTATGACTGACATTATATCAAAATGTTCAATTTACAGTGTAAACATATTGTTAAACTTTGTACCTACTTTCATGCCTGTTCACTTCAAAGAAAAAACAAAGGAAAGAAACGAAGTGGTTATAAAATGGGGGAAATATAGGTGAAAAAACAATACACTAACTATTACTACTGCAAGGAGCTTAAATAAGTATAGATTTTTAAGAAGACAGTGCTCTGCTTCAGACACTAACCCATAAATATCTTCTGTGATACAAAACACACCCATGTAGAAAAGGAATACATGGTTTAATCTCAAGAGTTTTTGTTTAATAACCAGCAGGTGGTTCTTTCTGAAGTCGAGTTTCCTAAGCAGCATCCACTTTGACCAAAGGGGAATAGAAAAGTAAAGGAGTGGATGAGGGGTTTTTTGGAGATCAAACACATACTAATAAATTGTAGCAACTTCAGCCAAATCTATTTAAAATATTACCAAACAACCAACATGGAAGAACTCATTCAGGACATTAATCCATATAATATCCTACAATTTCTTAAAAAAAAAAATCAAACTGTATTCCAAAATATAACATAAAACATACATATCACTAATGATTATGTCCACACAAACATGTGTATTCACAAAAGCTGAGTATCACCTACCATGTATTCAATTGTGAAAACAGAAGAACATCATATTTTTATGACTTCAAAGCTCCCAAGAAAATTAAATTCCGGCATCAAATGACCAATAAGAAGTTACTATACTGTTAAAGCAAGCAAGTGAAGAACTGAAAATTCACTTAATTTAGTCACTTTTACAGTATTGCTTTCTATATTCTTCTTTCCAGTGAAAAAAAAAAAAAAACAGAACAAGGATTCTCAGAAAAATTGAGAACTGAGTCATTTTTAATTTCATCAACAAAAAAAAAAAATAAAACAATAAAAAAATAAAACGCTGACATTTCAAACTTATTTTAAATGTCATTTCTGCACAAATTTAGAATCAGATGATTCAACTTGCTTTTTGTTTTTTTTTATTTAATTTTTAATCACTTCACCCCAAGCTAGGCAATAAAGCCACTAAGACGCAATGGGTTACTGGGAATGGAAGAGAATGAGGAGACGTTAGCAATGAGAAAGAGCAACAAAAAAATAGGATTCGGAAAGACAGAAAACCCCGCAAGTGATGTTACATTTAAATTGTTGCAGATTGTAGGTGGCAAGAAAGCAAGAAGCCAGGAGAGAGTTTCACAAGCAAGAAGTGTGAGAGAAGAAACTATCAGAATAGAACTTACGGTTAAAACTAGAAATTTAAACAGAAAAATAATGAGACCTAGCAGCCCATCTAGTACTATTAATGAAGTCAAAGTACAAAAGAGGAAAATGTATCAAAGAAAAATTTTGTGTGTAGGAGGAGGAAAAGTGTTGGGCATTGTAACAACTCTTTGTTTTGGCATGGTAGCAGATCCTTTTAGTAAATTAACCTCTAACTTATTCAAAAAAGTTGACAACTGGATTCCTTTCATTTTTGAAAATCTTAAGTGGCAAGGAAGCAAGAAAAGAAACTATTAGAATAGAACTTAGTTACATCTA